TGAATTGAGAGCCTGATGTTTCATCTGGCCTCCTGAAGACTAGAGGTTTCCTGCTTCTCCAGGCCAGGGAAACCTAGATAGAGACAAGGTCTCACAGTGGAACCTGGGCGTGGCCAGGGTGGCCAGCCTTGCACAAGCTGGGTCCCCCCTACCCCAAGTTGGTAGGATATAAGAAGCCCGTGGTCCACTCAGATCCCTCCAGGCAGCACAGTAGTAGGCAGTCCAGCAGAGTTCAATGTCCCTCCCACCTGTGTCCCCATTCCTACTGCCCACTCTTAGTCCCACAGGCTATCATGGGCAAGAAATAATGGCCTGAGAAGGCCAACCACAGGGAAGATCGCCAGTCCCTTCAGCCCATAGCTTCTGGCAGGGGGGCCCTTTCCAGGATTGGGTTCCCACACCCAGCAGGAGACATGGCCAGAGGAAAGCTCAGAATCTCAGGTCTCTTTCCCACCACACCCAACTCCCAGAAACTAAATCTCTCGCATCTATACATCTCCACCAGGATTCAGAGCACCCCCCACCCCTGCCTTCCACCCAGGGAAGCAGAGGGACAGACTCTGGGCCAAGTAGGGGGCTTAGTGGTCCAAAGCAGAGACTGACTCTTTTTCCTTTTGTCTGCTCACAGGAGGACAAATGCCCTGTGTGCACAGAGGTTTGATGTGACAACTTGAAAGACCACATGAGGCTTTCAGCAAAGGCCTCCCGCCCTGCTCTCCAGGCATTAAGATAATGGCGGGGGGGGGGGGGGGGGGGGGGGGGGGTGCCCCAGCATATTTCAGATCCTGGCTACGAAGGCCCTCCTTCCTTCTGTTTTCTTCCTCCAGCTCAGCTTGCCCACAGGTTCCCAGAGACTCTTGGCGGTTTGCTCTGAGGCAGAATGAAGTTGTGAGCTGCGTGGGAGGCAGTTAGACAGTGAGAGTGTTGCGGCCTCCTTAATGAGAGACAATAGCTCTTCTTGGAGCCATTACGCCATAGCTACAGGGATGGGGAACCCCAATTAGACAGAAGTGAGAGAAATAAAGAGGAGGGCCTGAGAGGACAGGCCCTGTAGGACAGATCCGTATCTCTGGTGGCTCTGTGGAACCCACGTTTGGACATCTAGCTGCTTGGGTTTAGGATCTCCTTTCCTTCTTAGGGTTAGCTATCCCAGTGACTAGAGAGCCAACCCATGGTAGTAAGCTTTCAAAATACTCAAACTGAAAGGAGGAGGAAAAAGTGTTGGGGAAAAGCCTTTCTTCTTGAGTTAGTAGCTCAGTTATTATAATCCAAGAGTAAGAAAGGAAATGATATTTGTTTAATTTAATGATGTCCTCTGTAAGTTTGGCTACATTATATATATGTGCATATGGATATTTGTATACAGATGATAGCTCTCTTCTGTTCTGGCTTTCAGCTGAATCACATTATGTTTACCGCACGATAGTAAGCCTGGATTTTCCATGGCTCAGTCTGTCAGAGTATAAGATTAGCTCTTGAATTCATTAACAGTCATCTCCCTTTAAATGTCAGATACCATTTTAAATGCCAAGAACTTACACAACACCTTCTGTGCCATTCAAATCAGCTTTACCAAATTAACTCATTAATCTCTATTGTTTCATTTACTGAAGAGAAAGGCTTAAAGGTATTTTTAGCAGAACATAAAAAATATTAAAGTATTTACAGTTCAATGTAGGTGAAGGATGGGTTTGATTTTCTGCTAAACATTTCATCCTTCCATCAGTTTCGTGATCATTCCCATTCAAGCGTGCACAGAAAAGAAACAAAAAGCTTCCGGTATCTGTGCTTTCCTCCACTTCCCCATCGTCATTCCCTTCTGTCCGGCCTGGTGCTCTCTCCTCCCCTCTACACCTTCAGAGACCTTGACTCCTGCTCACTACTTATCTACAGTCTTTGCTCTCCAAATAGCCCAGGAGCTGCATGTGTCGATTATGATGGCTCAGGAGACAGAGGGGTGCCTCGCAGGGTCAGGGATGGAGCCCAGAAGGCTGGGGGCAGCACAGGCATAGAGATCACGGATTTGACTTTCCTTTTCGAGGAATCCCTGCCTGGTTTTGCCTCTGCATAATCAGATACACTGACTGCTAAAGATAGATCCTTTTAGGACGGACTCCTTATTGTGACCCAGCTCTTGGCTCAAATGTCACCTCTGCTGAGAAGTCTTCCCTGATCACTAGAAGGGCAAGTCTCACCCCCTCCCCATCCACCTCCATCACCATTTTATTGTCTCCAAAATCATCTTGCATATTTATGTGTTTGTTTATCTGACACATACAATATAACTCAAAAAATATTAGTTGAATGAGTAAATGAAAAAGCACCTCCGACGCATGGCTTTCTTTCCCAGCTTTAACTTTCTGACTTCCTCTCCTCTTCTCTCTGCCTCTCAGCATCCTCTTTACATATTTCATCTTTTCTTTCTTCCCATTTCCCAAACCCTCGTCACTATCACTTGTTAGAACTCCTGAACATAATAAGCGAAAACAGCACTTCACATTCCAGTAACTATAGAGCCTTCACTGAAAACATTCCATTAAGCTAGAATTGATGGCCCCTAAATGTTAGAGAGATAAGCCATACAGTCAAGAGAATTGTTTTATCAAAAGATTTATAGGTTGAGTGATTCAAAGGGACTTTTCTCAAAGCCTCCCAACTCCCTGCTCTTCCATCTGAACCCCACATAAGGAGTTAAAGTGATTCCAGCCGTTGGAACTGGTCTTGGCTAGGCCTTTTGTCCTCTAGCCTAACTCAGAATTGTCTCTTGGAGGTAACAGAGAAAATTCCCTTAAATCAGTATTGTCTGATTTCTATTATTCCACCCAGTGATTCATGGTATGATTTTGGAAGCTAGAAAACTCAAAATGCTTTGTCTGATTCCAGCTTGGATGAAACGCTTTCATTTGATCTGGAAACAAGGAGGGGCTGTCTCACCCTGAGAAGCTAATTAGATATATGGCTGAGATGACAAAAAAAAAAAAAAAGGATCTGTATTTGTCCAGAAAACTCTTTATCTCTAGCCACATTTCAAAACAAAAGAAAAGGGTGTGGATATTCACTGGAATGATGTCTGCTTAAAGGGAGCCATCAACTGTTTATTCATCATTAATACTTAAAAGAAATATAAATGTTATGGGAGGGAACATTTGTGACAGCCCAGAGGGACAGACATTGAGAGTTGGTCTCCTAAAAAATATGGAGATGATCAACTCCACACCCACGGTGATCTCATGGTATACCAATATATGTGACCCCAACAAATCAGCCCTGAGAGATCACTTTCCTCTTTGGGAATGAGGAGGCAGAGCTACTCAGACAACAGGACTCTGGAGATCAGCACATACTTCCTGTAAAGGTGTCCTCATTGGCCCTCTGCATTTGACCCGAGCTGGACCATGATGTGTGTAGCTTGTCCACAGGGCAATCGTTATTCTTTTGTCCAGCAAATACATATCGAGTGTGGATGCATTCCCAGACCCTGTGCCAGGTGCTGCTGTCACAAGGGAACGGGATGGTCTGGTTCCTGCCCTCATGAAGCTTACAGTCTACTAGGGAGGGCAGGTGGCTACCCATGGATGAGCACCATTTGGACAATGACAGGAAGTGCTGAGTGCTCTGGGATGTCATGGGCAGCTCTGGAGAGCCAGACCTGAAAGGTGAGGAGGAATTAGAAGGGAGGAGTGTGTTCCCAGGAGAAGGAAGGGCATGTTTGATAGCCTTGTCCGGGAACCGAAAGGTCAATGTTGATAGTAGCCCTTTGAACTTGCGGTTCCCACAGTGAGGTAAACACTTCCCTCAGAGAGGCCCACAGAACCTTCCTTTGCCTTCTGTAGAGCTCAAACTTTGCTTTCCTATGAGGCCTTCCCTGGCAACCCTGCTTAAAATTGCACCTCCACCACCATTCCCAGACACCCCTCACTCCCCTCTCTGTTTTATTTTTCTCTGTCATGAATCACCTTCAGACATAACTTCTGTTCCACTTGCTTATTATCTCCTCCCTCTTGGTGGAATGTATGTGCAATTTTCATGAGGGTGGAGACTTCTGTCTGCTCCTTGCACTGATGTATCTGCTCTGCCGGGCATAGAAAAGGCACTCAATAAATATTTGTTGAATGACTAAATGAGGCAGGAGAGATAGTCCAGGGCTAGGCAGGAAGAGTCTTGAAAACCTTTTAAGTGGGTTGGCCTTCATCCTGAGGGCAAGGCCTTTGAAGGTTTTGAGCAGAGGAGTGTTGTCCGGTTTGCATCTTGGAACAATCACCCAGGTTGCAGCAGGAGGCGGGGCTGGAAAGCAACTTCAGATCCAGCTTTGTAGGCACTGAAACCAGACACCATCTGAGTGCCTGCCATGGTGACAGGAGAAGGCGTGGCCCAGAAGATGGCACAGCCCCTGGGGCCTCCAGACTCCTCTGAGCCCATTCTTCCTTCCCTCTCTGCTAGGTTTATTCAGATCACTCTTCCTAACACAGCAAACACATGTTAAGTTCAGAAATGAACTGGAGCCTTGCTATAACCTTATTTGCTGCAAGGCAGATTTGATAACTATTCACGAAAGCTATAGACATATCAAAAAGATCTCATTAAAAAAAGGAGTCTTGGGAAGATGTTGATTTCAGCTCTGCCATTTACCAACTATGTGGCTTTGGGCAAGTTACTTAACTTTCCAGAGCCTCTAGTTCCTCATCTGTGAAATGGGAATAACAATACCTGCCTTGCAGGGTGGTTGTGAGGATGAAATAAAGTAATTACAATCCTGGAACATAGTAAGATGCCTTCTCCACTTTTCCCATTACACCAGATCCAGGCATGAATTAATGACCAGTTTTGGATTATCCTGTGTACATAAGGGCCCCCCGTATCTTCCCAGGTAAAAATAGTTGTTACTATTAGAGTTCCTACAATGCAAAACCACCTTCTATAAATACTTGGGGATTTGGACTAGCTCTGGTCGCACTATGTATCATTCCTATGAAAGGTGGGCTTTCTGCTTCTCTTCACAGGCAGCCCAGCAGTCCTTGGAGGCAGCAGCTCAGAAGACAGGAGAGCCTCAAAGTCGTATAAATAAAGGGCCGATATGTTCAAACGGAAAAGAATTTTACACGCGCAAGCTGCACATCGACATGACGCCGTTCCTGAAGGTGATCTCACACTGAGAAGACGAAGGGTTTTATAGGCACGTACACAGGCAGTCTAGTTAATACACTTCTGCATGGTACAAAAACAGCTTCAGAAGTCCCTTGGAGTTCCTGCTTTATCAGAAGGGACAGAAAATAGGCAGTTTGTAGCAGATGAACAAAGTACAAATTAGGACAGTAATCACAGCCAGCCACTGGGGACAAATCAGTTGGGTGTCTGGTTTGGATGGTAGGGGACAGGGAACAGAGAGGAGAAAGGATAACCTTGAACTTGAACCACCTCATAAAACAGGCAAATATAATTCATTTTATCTTGATAGTAACTCAAACCAGTGTTACTATTTCACCACTGTGATAGTTCTACTGTAGAGAAGGACTCTTGAGTTAACTATTTAGAAGTCAACTGCAAATCCTCTTCCAGATGTCCAATCTTGTTTTCTATCCTTCCAAGCTCAGCCTCATATCTAGTTAAGGGTACTGAGGGGTCTTACAGTGACGATGTCATTTGTTCTTCTTCATAATACTCCTTCCTGCCCCACCTAACAGCACCTGGCAGGCACATGGAAGGTGGTCTGTAAATACCCCATAAACTTTTCATCCTCCTTTTCATCCCACAGCCCTCCAGCTTAGGGTCCTCTTTTTACCCATTCTTTGTGCCCCCTCAGAGCTGAAAGAACTGAAACTAAATGACCACAGAGTAAAAGGAAGTGATCGGGAATAAAGCAATAGTTGGTATGAAAGGATCTCAGATCCTTCATATTAGCCTAGAGGACAAAATGTCAGCCCTTTGATAAGAAGTGACTAGGAAAGACAGACAGAAACAGAGGAGAAGAAACCAGACACTTTGTGGCTTTTAGCCAGTGCTGTAGACTGGCAGGGACTCCGGAGGCCACACGTGTCGTGCTCCTAACCTCAGCTAATCCCGAGTCCTCGTGTTACATCTTCTCTGGGCAGCCCCAGACTCAGCTCAGCAACGTGGGGCTGTAAGAGTCATCTTTGGCCCTAAACCTTTTCTCTACATGGCCAGGCTCTGCTTTCCTCTGTTTCTTCTTAGACAGGCTCTTTCCTCATGGTTGCAAGATGACCACCAGCTTCTGTTTGCTAGATCATACCAGAACTGAATCTATGGACCCGACTCGGGTCACATGCCCATGCCCAAATGAATCACCACTGCCCGGGGAATAGAATTCACTGACTGGCCCAGCCTGGAGCCACAGAAACTAGGGGTGGGGAGGGGAGCAGTGTCTCAAAAAGGAAAACAGGGTCTTAAAACCTGAATAAGAATGATTCCAGGTAATAAAGGATATTTGCTACAAGCATTCAAAATAATTGCCTTGATTTATTACACATTATATGAGTTTGGTAAGGCTATTATAACAAAGCACCAAAGACTGAGGGGCTTAGACAACAGAAATTAATTTCCTCACAATTCTGGAGACTAGAAGTCCAAGATCAAGGTGTCAGCAAGTTTGATTTCTTCTGAGGTTTTTCTCATTGGCTTGTCAATGGCCATCTTCCCCCTGTGTCTTCTTCACACGATCTTCCCTGTGTGTTTGTGTCCAAATCTCTTCTTCTCAGGACGCCAGTCCTACTGAATCAGGGCCCACTCTGACGACCTGATTTTACTTCTTTAACAGCCCTATGTCCAAATGCAGTGACCTTCTGAGGTGCTGAGGGTGGACTTCAACATACGAATTTTGGAAGAACACAGTTTAGCCCATGACACTTACATTAATGAAACTGGCCTTTTTTTCTTTGCAATAGTTTAGTCCTTCTTTTTAGGGCTTGAAGAATTGTGGTTGGTACTTTCTGGGATGAGGTCTCACCAACATTGTGACTGTTCATTCATTCAACCCATAATGAGCATCTACTGCCTACTATGTACCTGGGCCTTCAGGATACAGCGTCAGCAAACAAAACAGACTGAGATCCTTATCCTGCTCCAGGCAATGTGTATAGTATGTTAAAAGGTAATAATGCCACGGAAGTGAGATAGAGATATATTTATGGAGCATCTAGAAACTGAAGAATTCAGAGTGGGGAATTTTATGATAATTTTTTGTGTATTTAGTGTCTACAAGGCTTTTGTGTTGCACTTTTTGTCCTGCAATTTTGGCATCATATTATTACCTTAAATTATATCATATACCATGTATCATATACATATAACACACATATTATACAATATATTATAGAGGGAAAGGCATTATCATCCCTAAGGCCCACTTTCCAGACCACCCTTTTCAAAACTCACAGAAATTGTCACACAGCCTGCTTCTGCTAGGGGCTCACGAAGCACATACGAGGCTTTCTGACTCCCAGACCAGTCCTTGCCCAAAAGACCACAACTTTTCTTGGGAATGTTCAGTGTTTATAACTCTCCATAGGTAGACCTTCTTGTTGATATGGTAGCTCCTGGATTCTTAGGGATTGCCTTATAAAAAGACACAAACCTCAAGGCTATATAGAAAAGGACAGTGAGTTCACACAGAGGAAGACATCCAGGCTGCCCTCAGCACCTGGAGCTATAGAGAAACCAACCCATTCTACACATTTCATTCCTGCATTTCCTGCCCATCCACAGGGCACTTCACTCATTTTTGCCTGGTGCATGTGAGAAGAATTGGACACTTCAAGACATGAGGGTAGAAGATAAAAATATTGAGATAGAAAAGGGGGATGGAAGGAGATGCAAATAATCACAATTGCAACATCACTGAACACTTATTCCTTGCAAGCCTCTGTTGTCTTACATGCAAGACCTCATTTAATTCACAAAATCAATCTAAGAAGTAAGTGGCATCACCTCATTTTACAGATGAGAAAACTGAGGCATTGCAAAGTTAAGTCACTTCCCAAATATCAGATAGCTGGTAAATGACAGAAAGATTCAAAGTCAGGCAGCACAATCCAAAGCCCATGTTTTCAACCATCTGTTACAAAGCTTCGCTGCAGACCCCAGCTGAGTCCTATACAATCAAATGCACCACCTACCATGTTAGCCATACAGCCAACATAGCTCCTTCTAGATAATTCCATCCCTGAGTACTCAACCAGTCTGCTGCAGGAAGATTTTCTGACCCTACAGTACTCTGCCCTTCCCCCCACTCCCACCTGCATTCTGTTGAGCCAGTGTAAAGCTTCTCTCCTGTGATTGTTTAGTTAGATAACATATATCAAACATCCTCTGTGTATCAGACCCTGTGCTAGGCACTGAGGGTGCAGAGATGAATCATCTCCACCCTGGCCTCACAAGGAGCCTGCAGTCTAAGAGAGAGATAAACAGAGAAGCAAATGCTGTCAGTACAGCACTGTGGCCGAGGCAGGCCCAGCCAGGTTGCTGTGGGAGAGACTCATCTGTTTCCTAGTCATTGCCTGTGGAATCCTCCTCAGATTTAAGAACCTCCTTGTAACACTGAGGACAACACTATTAGCCCATTTTGGAAGATAACCTTATCAGACTTAGATTTGGGGAAACTCGATTGATCCAGACTACATCTGAGTTCACATAAAAATGGAACCATGTCTTTTAAAAATCTATTTCTTGAAAAAGAAATGGTAATTGATAAATAAATTAGGATAGAAAATTTTTTCCCCAAGAACTTTAATAAATTGTCAGGGTTAGGTAGTGGGGACTAAAATGGCAATAATAAAAATGAACGCTAGATGCAGAGTTGAATGTGCTCATACTCAACACTGATTCCCAAGGGCAGGCATGTTGCGCCCAGAGGATGAGAGGAATGGGGAAAGGCTCCACCTTACAGTCATCACACAGACAGCTGTCACTTTGTGCCCAAGCTAGAGGAACCCACCCGAAACGAGACTTTAAGGAGCTCTCCCCAACCCCCCTCCCACCCCGAGTTTAAGGCCAGCCCCAGGTTTTACTTATGCAGGCAGGCGTGGGCACATCCCACCAGGCAGAGGGTGACTGTCACTGCCACTGAGTCCTATGGTCATGTGGGGAGGGACGGCTTGGATTTCAATGAGTAGAAGTAAGAGGACAATGATGTTTGGCTTCAGACATTGTCCAGAGATGGAACAGCCCCCTTGGAATAGAAGTTCCAGGGCCTGGAGTCCTTTAAACCTGCTTTCTTGGCCAATGGAAAAACAGCTGCAAGGGGATCACAAGCTAGTTTTGAGATGTGATGATTCCAAGACACTTGAATAATATTTCCAGGAAAAATATTCAGGCTATTGGGTCTATTATATTTCCAAAAGAAGGAGGCCCAGGATTAAGTAGATTATTATCTATATTCAAGTATCAGACTAGGAGTGACTCCTAACAACCTTGTATCAGTCCTGGGACTCCTCCTCTTCTTTAGGAAAATAGAGATGATAATACTGGGATCTCCATACCTGCCTCCCAACAGTGAGGCAAGAATTATATGAAATAATAATTTTGAAAGAATGTCCACATCTACAAAGGACTCTATTTATAAAGGAGATGGTAATATTGATTGATCCTGGTAAGAGCCAAGCCCCTCACATACTGAACCTTATTTAATTTTTCAACCCCCGCTCCCCAGGCTAAGTGTGCAAATTGCCCCTGAGCAGATGAGAAAACTGAGGACTGGTGACATGAGATGGTGACTGGTGACAAGGCTGGCAGCAGAGGGAGCTAGGATTCAAAGCCACAAAACCTACAATACCTGATATTGATGAGGCCTACCTACTCTGTTCTGGGAAGACTGTTGTACATCTTTTTTCTGGCTTCAGAACCTGTTGTTGAACTACAGGTCATGCCGCTGGCTCACAGCTGACACGATCCCCGTGTCTGACTCCTGCACCCCACGTCCCCCGCTCTCTTCCCACAGTTCCTTACAGAAGCCTGCCTGGGGCCAAGAAGTACTATGCACAGATGGAATGCTGTGCATGAGGGTAGAGGGCAAGTGTAAGGTTCTCCAAGGACAGATGAGAACTTAAGGTCACCTGGCTCAGCCTCTGTCCACAGAACAAACTAAGGCTCAGAGGTTAAGTAATCTGCATGATCTGTACGGCAAGAGCAGCAGGAATCAGGGCTTCAGCGCACGCAGTCAGGCTCCCAGACCCACACCCCAACTGTCCTCTCTGGTTTTTGGGCTGCAGTTTGTATTCACAAAGTGCTGCCCACCCTCAGCCCTCCTCAGCCCCACAATGCCACACTGCCGCCAGTGCTCATTTTAAATACAGCTTCGTCAGATCCGTGGTTTGCCTGAAATTCCTTATCACATCCCCACGAGCCTTCCAATTAAATCCCAGCATCAAAGATGTATTTCTTGGAAAAAAAAAAAAAAGATGTATTTCTTTATAAATAGAAAAACATAACATGCAATTTAAAAAAAACTCCAAACTGCAACATGTAAGCTCCGGCCTGTGTCTGACTCACACTGTCCATGCACATGCACACCAGACTACCCCCGAACCAGCACACGGTGCTCCCTCTGCCGGGGAACTGCCCTGCCTCCCCTTCTCCGCAAGACTTAGCACCGGGTCCGCTGGTAAACAAACCTTCCCAGGCCTAATTTAGCTTCACCTCTGGTGAGGTCCTGCTGAAACCTGTCATAATCTGTCACAGTATTTATCACACTGCATTGCAGCGACTGAGATTTCTTGTTTTTCAAGTCAGCGAGCTTCTTATAAATAGATCTTTCAGCTTAGTGCCCCCAATGCCCAGCACAGTGCGTGGCACACAAGAGACACTCAATTGTTCTTCAGCTGAATGAGCAGATGAAGAGCAAGTGGCTTGGCCAGAACGAGAGAGCTGGGGTTTGAATTTTCAGCCCTTTAGTTTGTTTCACTCACTCGCTCACCAAATATTCAATCACTAGGTTTAGCCATGGCATTTGTAACTAATATTAAAAGTGACAGCATTTTGCTTAGTTTTAGTTTTTAATTCAAATTTCGAATCCAAAATATACTCAGAAGTTTTCAATTTTTTTAAGTTTAAAAGAGTATGTCTCCCAGCTCCTGAGTTCCCTTCCCCAGGGACCCCACTGTTACTGGTTCCTGAGTTGTAATATGCATGTAAAAGCCAATGCAAACAGACAAACACACAGATAGATAGATGCTCCATACACATTTTAACATATTATAAGCATTGTTCACAGTCTTACTTTTTTTTAACTCAATGTACTTGGAGTTCTTTCTGTGTTAATTCATGAAGAGATGCTTTCTAACAGCTGCACAGTGTCCCATTGTACTCGTATGAATCACTGTGATTGGTTTGACAAGTCCCCAGTCAATGGAATATCGTGGCTATTTCCCATCTGTCGAAATGAATGACTTTAGTCATTTCACGTGTGTGTTCATATATGTAAAAATGATAGATTTTTAACACTTTTCTAATCAACAGACTAAATTTTAAACTAGGACTATTTCTTTTTCTAACAGGGACTGGCCAAAAGATTCTTTCCAAAGCCCTGACTCTCTCTTCCTCCATCTTCCCACCTGTGAAATGAGAACATTTCTTGCCCCTGAAGATTCATACTTGCCTGTTGTTAAGATTCAAGGTTTATCCTTTTGGCGTCAGTATTCTTTCAAAGAAAGAAACTCATTTCTCCTTTTTTATCCAATTTCCTGTTAGATTAAAGGGATTTATAAACAGGCTTTTAAAAAAATTTACCTTCTTTCTAGTTTTCTAACTTATCAGTTTACTATGACTTAGGCAGTTTTTTCCTGCAATGATTTTTTAAAACCTTTCCATTTATTAAGGAATGAATTTTTTACTACATTAGGCCCAATGTGCTTTGACTCCAAAATAAGAAGTAGAAAACCAAGAAAATTACTTAACTGCTTGCTCTAGTTTTTTTTTATGTCAGAATAGCTCATCAGTTAACAAGTGAGAAACATGCAGGGTAAAAGGCCATTAAGTGAGAAGAGAATGTCAAACAAATTAGCAGATAATTAATTGTCTCTTCCCAAAGCAGCTTGGATATTTCATAATAAAGTGAAAAACTGATGGTCACTAAAGTAACTTCCCGGAGAGAATCCCAGGGCCCTCCACATCAGATTCCTTCTCTACAGCTGAAAAGAAGCTGTGGATTAATCAGAGATCCAGGTGACAAAGGCCAAGAGCTGGCTTCATTCAACACACAGGGCATTCCTTGGGTCACGGACTCTACCTGCCACATCTCTCTGGGTATTAAAGAGATGCTCTTCCAACACATTCGAGAAGGTTTGTGATTCTCTACCCTGGCTGCATGTTGGAATCACCCAAGAAGACTTAAAAATGTCTGATCTTCAGAAAGTCTGATTTTAATGTTTGGGGTTAGGTCCTGGGAATCATATTTTTTAAAGCTCTGTGAAGAATTTCAATATGCAGCCAGGATTTCAAAGCACTGTTAAGGAGACTTCTGCACAGTGGAATTGCAAGCAGCTTGTGTGACTCAGAGAAAGAAGGAAGAGGGCATTAAATGTGATAAGATACCCAATCTGTGTTATCCTGGAAACTCCACTAAAGTCCAGTCCCATTCTTTTGCTCCCCTACTTTAAACCCTCAGTGCCCTCAATGTGTTCCCAAGATGCAGACCTACCTGCAAGGCCTAGGAGGTCTGATTCCTCCCCATGGTTCCCACTTCTCTCAGTCTCTGCTCTCATTACACACTGGTCCTCCTTCAAGTCCTTGGAGGTAGCCCACTGCCCACCACCAGTTGGCCTGTGCCTGGGACATTCTCCCTGACATCCCAAACCTTCTGCCCCTGCCCCAACCCTGTTACCACCTATGAATGCCAGGCATTGAGCCCAGCACAGATGAAAGGAACAAGCGTCCCACCAGAGGATGGCTAAGAACCTAAGCCACCTAGCTTTTCAAGGCTAATCACACTTGTAACAGACTTCTTGGTCACTTAAGTTAAATTAAGTTGACAAAGGAAAAGAAACAACTAAGAAAATTGTATTCCCTTTTCCCAAAAAGCATGGACCACAGAGTATTTGCACTTATTTTGTCTTATGTACTTTTGTTGTGTGTTAATCGAATAGGAAAGTAAAGATGAACTGGACTACTATCAAGAACAAGGAGGACCCCTCAGAGAAAACCATCAAGACACCCAAGGTAGAGACAGCTGGGTTGGGTTTTATAATCTTATCATGATAATTGTTGGATGAATTTGCCCCTCTCATAGACGTTAATGGGGAATGACCCTTCCATTTCCCTCAGGTTGTGGGTTGGAAATCAGAATACGGACCAAAGTGCTGAGTTCTGACTCTGATGTGTTCTTAGTGACTGCAAATAGATGGAATAGAGTGGAGACTCTGGGGGCATTACAAAAAGGCTCCACAGGCACTTCTACCTTCCTATTTCTCCTGCTTTCACAGGGCCTTGGATACGCAGGTGAGGGAGCTGAGGTCCCCTGCCTGGTGGGAGAATATTCCAACAGATGGGAGAACAGCATCTTTAGAGACCCAGACCACAGCTCTAGAGGGCCAGAGCTACTTGAGTATGGCTTCCTCCCAAATGATGCTCCATCTGATAATGATGATGATTCCAGGAACTTTGGGCCCAGAACAGGCATAATTCTTATTCCCAGACCCTGAGTCAGACAGTAAGCTCTTCCCTGGGGGCGCCTGGGCATGCTGCTGTGTGATGGTACAACTGGCTAGGCCCAGAAAGCAGAGCTGTTCTGTATCCTCATTGCTTGCTGCAGTAGTAGAAACCTGTGTGAGAAACTCTCAAGGAGTTCTCAAGGAGGGGATGCAGGGCCCACCAGCCAGAATTGTGCTTGTGGTTTGCTGTACAAAAGCATCCAGCAGGGGGAGCAAATACAGGCTGAAATCCTGCTCAGCCCTGGGTGCATCCACCCAGAAGGGGCTCCTGCTCCCACCTGGTCCTCCTACTGAAGTGCCTTCTCTAATCTACATAAGATGCTCTGTTTAGACTGGCAGCAGCGATCTGAGCAGCTGACTGGAGAAGATGGGCTCTGGAGTTGGACTACCTCCACCTTAACCTCTCTGTGCCTCAGTGCCCTCGATTGAGGCTAAAAAACAGTACTCCCCTCATGAGGTTGCCTGAGGAATAAATGAAGTAATTCATATATAATAGTCCTCTAATGAATATTAATCTTGAGTTAGATATCACAATGATTATTAATCTAAAATGCTACCACAACTCTCTCCCTATGGCATCCGGACCCTCATCGGGGAGAGAGACCATAGGAGCTCACTGGAGATAAATGTGCAATTTCATGGATTTGGGATTTCACCCTAAACTTGATATTTTTCTATTTACATCTCTTACACTTACTTTCACTTGACATTCTAGACAAAAATAACTTTTATACTCATTTTAAAAGATTTCAGACTTTCCAGACATCGGACAATAAAATATCAGGTAGCCCAATCCCTGGGTTCGGTCAAGTTTGTTAAGCAAGGTTTCTGCTGACGTAGGTGTTCCGACACCTCCATTTTCCAGACTGAGTTGCAACAGCCGGGAAACAAGCTCCAGTCCTCAGATCTTTGATATGATCAATCATGTGTAGAATGTGAACACTGACGAGCCTCTAAGGTCTTGGCCAAGTGCAGTAGGGATTTTAGGCAGCACAGAACATGGCCAAATCTAAACAATGACCAAGTCAGTCAAAACAGATTCCCTGTCTCATGACAGAGGAACAGGCTATGGCTCAGTTCCATGAAGGTTATTCACACGGTTCAATGCTGCAAAATGTCACTGCAGAAAGTTAAAGAAACCATTGACTATCAAACAGGACATTGCCTGTCCTGGATGATACATGCTAATGTTTAAAAAGGATTTCAAATCTTTTAAAAACAATGGGCGTAGGGGATGGGAGGGCATTGTTTAGGCAGCATTATAGTGATCAAGAGCACTGATTATCAAGCCTGAGTCCCAGGGTTCAAATCTTTGCTCCACCATCTGTATAGTTAAGGGATTACTACCTGTGTGATTTTGAATAAGTTATTGAACTTCTCTGGCATTTTTTTCATCATCTGTAAAATGGGGATACTAACAATACTTATCTCATGGGGTGGTTGTGACATAGAGGAGTTGTTAATATGTGTAATGTGCTTATGAGTGCCTGATGCATAAGAGTAAGTGTGAATTAAAGGTTAGCTATTAGTCTACTTCTGAAAAACATTAATATTTTAAATTATATTTTATTGATTATGCTTACAGTTGTCCTGATTTTCCCTTTGCCCCCCCTCCACCCAGTACTCCCCACCCCCTCAGGCAAACCCCACACTATTGTTCATGTCCAGGGGTCATGTGTGTAAGTTCTTTAGCTACTCCATTTCCTATACTGAACTTTACATCCCCATGGCTGTTCTGTAACTTCCTGTTTTTACTTCTTAATCCCCTCACTTCTTCACTCATTTTCCCACACCCCCTTTCCCATCTGGCAACCATCAAAACATTCTGTGTATCCATGATTCTGTCTCTGTTCTTCTTCTTTGCCTAGTTTGTTTTTTAGATTCAATTGTTGATAGATTTGTACTTTTTGCCATTTTACTGTTCATAATTTTGATCTTCTTTTTAAATAAATCCCTTTAACATTTCATATAATAATGCTTTGGTTATGAGGAACTCCCTTATTTTTATCCTGTCTGGGAAGCTCATTATCTCCCTTTGATTCCAAATGATATCTTTGCTGGGTAGAGCAGTCTTTGCTGTAGATCCCTGCTTTTCATGACTTTGACTATTTCTTACCACTTCCTTCTAGCCTGCAAAGTTTCTTCCGAGAAGTAGTTGACATTCTTATGGGAACTCCCCTGTAGATAACTAACTTCTTTTCTCTTGTGGCTTTTACAATTCTCTCTTTATCTTTAACCTTCAGTATTTAATTATGATGTATGTTGAAGTGAGCCTCTTTGCATCTATCTTGTTTGGGACTCTGTGCTTCCTGGACTTGCATGTATATTTCCTTCACCAAATTAGGAAGTTTTTTTCATTATTTTTTCAAATAGATTTCCAATTTCTTGCTCTTTCTCTTCTCCTTCTGGCACCCCTATGATGTGAATGTTGGACCGCTGGAAGTTGTCCCAGAAGCTGCTTACACTAGCCTCATTTTTTTGAATTCCTTTTCCTTCTCGTTGTTCTGATTAGTTGTCTTTTGCTTCCCTATGTTCCACATCATTGATTTGATTCTCAGCTTCATCCACTCTACTGCTGATCCCCTATAAATTGTTCTTTATTTTAATTAGTGCATTCTTCATGTCTGACTGGATCTTTTTTATGCTGTTGAGGTCCTCACTAAGTTCCTTGAGCATCCTTATAAACAGTATTTCGAACTCTGCCTCTGATAGATTGCTTATTTCCATTTTGTTTAGCTCATTTACTGGAGTTTGGGCCTGTGCTTTTCATTTGGGCCAAGCTGGGTAAAAGGGGCATCCTTCATGTGGTTTGAGTACATACTCCTCTTGTAGTAGAGACTTGGTGGCTATTGGCAGATCAATGGGAGAGATTTACCCAGGCCAGTCAGCAGCAAGAATTAGCTTGACAACTTACCACCAACCTCCACCCTCTATGGAGGATCAGCTGTGTAAGGGCACAGTGGTGGCACCCTGACTTGGTCTGTAACTGTCCACTAGGTGTGTTGACCCAGTGGTTTCCCAGGTGATGCAGGCCAAGGTCAGTCCCCAACTATGTTTTGCCCAGAGCCACCCTGAATGAGCTGTAAATCAATCTGAGATGGCTGCTACTTGTGCTGGGATGAAGATTTCCAGGTGAAGCCACGCTGTGAAATCTAGGTTGGCTACTGCTAGTGCTGGGCCTGAGGCTATTTGAGGCCCACTGTTCTTTGTTTGATAGGATTTAGGAAGTTGTGAAGCATGAGCCGAGACCAGCCATTCATATAGAAAAGCAACTTGGGTGGGCCTGTAATATGGGTGGGGTGGAGTCTCTGGGGATCTCCGAGGCGGGTCAAACAGTGTTAGCCAGTTTGATGGACTCTCAGATATGGCACCAGCTTGCCAGCTCAGTCTCAATGGATGTGGTTTCTTTAATTCCATAATTGTCAGACTCCCATTCAGCTCGATTTCTGATGGTTCTGAGTGAGGGTTGTTCTATTTAGTTGTAATTTTGATGGGGTTGTGCAAAGAGGTGAGCCATGTCTTCCTACACTGCCATCTTGACCAGAAGTGAAAAACTTTAATTTTAGTAGCCATAAATTTCACTTTGTCAGGAAAGACTTTTTGTACCTTGATAAGACAATGATTTCTTTATTTTCCAAATCAGTCTCAGTGGGGTGGGGCTTGCTTTGGGGGGAATGATTGAATCCTCTGTGTGATCCTTTTCCACTTAAATCCAGGTGTGGGCAGCAGACCCCATCTTAACAAAGCAGCCTTACCAATCTCTGCCTTCTGTGAAAGGTTATGTAATAGTTTATCTCATTTTATTCTCTCCAAAATCTTATGAGGTAAAGTATATTATCCCTGTTTCACACATGAGGAAAATGAGGACCAGAGGGGTTAGGTAACCCACCCAAGGTGCAGCCAGTAGGTGAAGAAGCTGAGATATGAACCTAGATTTCTGTGGCTCCATGCCATTGGTATTTATTTATTTATTTATTTATTTATTTATTTATTTATTTATTTATTTATTTATTTATTTTCAGTGGCAGGAGGGAGAAAAAGAGAGAGAGAAACATTGGTGTGTGAGAGAAACATTGATGGGTTGTCTTTTGCATGCCCCAACTGGGGGCCTGGCCTGCAACCCAGGCAGGTGCCCTGACTGGAATCAAACCAGCGACCTTTTGGTTTGCAGGCCAGTGCTCAATCCACTGAGCCCCACCAGCTAGAGTACTGTTGGCTTTTTAAAAGAGTTGTAGCCCTGGCTGGTGTAGCTCAGTGGATTGAGCGCGGCCTGGGAATCAAGCAACCACGGTTCGATTCCCAGTCAGGGCACATGCCTGGGTTGCAGGCCGGTTTCCTGCAGGCCAGTTCCCAGCAGGGGACACACAAGAGGCAACCATACATTGATGTTTCTCTCCCTCTCTCCTTCCCCTCTAAAGATAAATAAAATTTAAAAAAATAAAATAAAAGAGTTGTAACTCCATCCACATGTTTCTGATTAGGAAATAGGTACAAAGTCAGAAACATCAC